CGGGTCGTTCATGTTCTCCAGTCTCCGTTTGTTGTTTCCTTCGTTCTTTGAGCCAGAGTTCTTTCGGGTGAAGTTGCGGGGATAGCCATTACGTGCAAACACTCTGAGGAGGTATCTTTCTTCTTTCTTTTTGAGTATGTCGGTGCTGCAGGGCGTTGAGATTCTTCCGAATAGGGTTCTAACGCACCATCTTTTGTGGCTGTGTGGATGATTACTTTTGAAGTTTAGAATTTGATCCGTATGCTGCCTTGCGGTATACCGTTGTCTCCAGTTTTCTTGATGGCGTTCTGATGATCAAAATGTCCAAAAATGCCATTTGTTCATCCTTTTCGGTCTCCATTGTGAACTTAATGCCATTGAATGTGTTGTCGATAATGCTATATGTTCCTTCTAGTTCCGACTTCTTCAAGATGACGAATGTGTCGTCAACTAAAGTTGTGACATGATTCTTGGTAGTACCTTGTTCTCCAGCTTCTGCATTACGGCTGCGGCTATGAATCCGGAAATTGGCGGTTCCATTAGTGTTCCTTTCAGCTGTTCGTAGATTTCACCCTCGAATTTGAAGTAAGTCCGCGTGCATAGTTCCAAGAGTTCGAATGTGGCAGCTGGTTCCGTTGGTGGGTTCCCGCAACGTGGATCTTGCCAGGTCCAAGGCGATCGAAGTGAACAAAGCGGTGACGTCAAACGAGATCATTATTTCGACTTCTTGGATGCTGACAGATTTTTGCTTGTCCGGGAACTGTCTTGAGTTCATGCCCAGCGATGAGCGACTTCAGTCGGTTCCATAATTCTTTTATCAACTTATCTGTGGCTGTTCCTGGAGGGGAAACGATCAGTCTCAGGGCAATTCCTTCCCAGTATATCTTCGGCAGTTCGTAGAATTGTGCGATTACGGAGTTTTTAGCTCTCATTCTCCAGTGTTCCGCTTTGGTTATTTGATGCAGTTCTTCCAGTCGTTTCAATGTGGTGTTGATTTTATTTTCCAGTTTCGCGGTGGAGTCCGTGTCTATTCTGCGGTAGGTGTCTGTGTCTTGTTCTTCAGCCTTTTGAATGTAGTCAGTTTTGTTCATAACCACAGTAGTTCTTCCTTTATCTGCTGGTAGGATGAAGGTATTTTTGTCCATCTTCAGTGTTTTGGGTGCTTTGTCCTCACCGTTTGAAAGAATGTTGTCTTTTCCTTTTCGCATCAGGGCTGTTTCGACTGTTCGTCGGATGGTTTGTTTCACATCCTCAAGCATTGTGAACGATTTGAGAGTTTGTCCCAGTTCCACCAAGTATTCCTTGTTTGTGGCCTTTCTGACGTTGCAGTTGAGTCCTTTATTGAGGACTCGTTTTTCATCCTGTGTGATCACCCGATTGGAGAGATCGCGGACCCAGTTTTCATTTCTATTGATTGGTGAGTGATCATCCAACTTGTGGAGCTTTCTTGAGAGTGCCAGTTTTCTTTTTCTTGTGACATTTTTGACGCGTCCACTTATTGCATAATCTAGCTTTTGCATCTGTCGTTCGTTCAATATAGTTCGACAGTTCTCTTGTTCTTGTTGTTTAACCTATTTATACTCGCAAATGTTATAAGATAATGTGGTACCTGCCATCCGGCGTGTGGAAACGAAAGTTGGTACTACAGTTTGGTTCCAACATGACGGTGCACCGCCACATAATGCTCTGGTGGTGAGAAGCGCACCGCTCCACAACTGATTCTCTTGGGTGCTTCTTTACCAACATTTAGGCAGCATTGGATTCGGAACCTATCCTCCTGCTGTGCCGGCCCGAAAATCACCCTACAGATCGGGTTCATTTATCGAACGGTCGAATGGTTCAGCCGCAACCAGGGACCTGGTGCTTGCCCAGCTAACTCCAGCGAGAAAGCACACCGAGTTTACAGCCGCGAGTCCTAGACGGACCCAGTGAACTTCGACTGTACAGCAGGCGTGCCTTCATCACTCGGATGGACTAGACGTGACAACAAGAGCATCACGAGAAGCACAAGACAATATGACACGACGCAGCAATGGCACAATCGCACTATCCACATAGCAAGATGACATCTTAAATTGATACTGTGATATCTTAAATTCATATTGTGACATATCAAAGTGATATTCGGGCATCTTTAATTGAAAAAGTTATAGGGACTCAGTGGCTGTCAAGTATTACACAAACTTGATCAAAGCTGAAGTTAAGCGCCCCTCTGTGTCCTGCACCTCCCAGCTTCTGCAATGTACCAACATTAAGCGAATTTGGCAAAGTAGCAAATTGCTATGTTGGACCAAATCCAAATCTCCGAATTGTAAAACGGATTTGGACAATAGTAATGCAGCATTTATCCACCCATCAAGCAATGCCATTACGCTATTTGTTCTGGATGCCGTTCAATTAGAGACCGTCTGGAAAGAAGAAACTTCAGAGCTTCTGCGTACCGTAAAATCCACGTGCAATGTTGATTCCGATGGTCTTTCATCTTCCCTGCTTCTTCGCACACTGGAAACCATTGGTTGTCAAGAGCAGTTATTAGCTTGGTCTGCCGATTATCTCTCCTTGAGAACTCAGTTTATCAGGTTAAGTAGTAAGAAACCAAAACCATTGTTGAACAATTTCGGGGTATTTCAATGTGCAGGTCTTTCCCCATACTTATTTTCTACGTATATTAGTAACATGTATGCTAGCTCCCCTACTTCTGTTTTCAAATAAGACGACAATGTGGTTTTATAGCAGGCTGCATCCGATTCTTCTGGTCCTTCACAATTTTCTGACGGTTGGGAAAACGTTCAACAATTTTTTGCCTCATCCGGCCACTCTCCCTTAAGCTCTCCAAATCTTTCTAATGTCTCTTCCCCTTATCCCATCTGAATCAGTATCGATTGGCTCTGAATCAGTATCCCGGGTAAGCTGTATTAAATCCTTGAGGGGTTTTATTGATGCTAATTTTCATTGTACCTCCAACGTTCAACATTTTGTCAGTAAACTTCAACGACTTTCTTTTGATATGCGTAGAATTCTTCAGTTTCATATTGAACAATCGATTAGTTTTAAATTCTTGTACCAGTGTGTTGCCCTCATTTTAAGTAACTGTTCACCTGTCGGGTTTCGCAATCTCCTAAATAAAGATTTTAAGTTGCTTCGACATGAACTGATCATCTATAGGTGCTTCTCTTCAATCCCGCTAGAGGAGCATTTAACTAACCTATGCGAACGTCATTTAAATGCGTGTGAAAAGTTTGCACAAAGAGTGTTATCGAATACACTAATCCGTAACGCACAAATTTAAATTCTTGTTTTTCCCATCCCGCAATTAGATCCCAAAAACGTTCTGTTCCCTCTCGAATGAACGTATATCGTCACTCTACGGTCCCTCATTGACATGTATTCTAGTTAACAAATAACAGGTTTTCACAGATGGTGGAACAGTTTTGGGATTTGAATCTCTTTTTTTCATTATTATTATTTGTAATTTTCTTCCTCTCCTCAACTTGAATGCTTTTAACAGATGTGTGTACAGAATTTATTACAATACAACACAATAGAACTTTGATCAATATTTTAATCAGTTCGTCTCTCTACCATTATTTCATTTGATATTTGTCCTCTTATCTGCTCCATGACCGTGGCGTTCACTACCAGTAGCCTTGGGATATTCGCTCGTTTTGCTCGCTCGCCTCTACCTGCGTTACAACCTGAGCTCTTGTCGGCTAATCCGATATTTGTACTATACTGGCATTGTGTTGAAAAATAACAACTAGACATTCAATAATATTTGTTTGCGTCATATACTGATTGGTGCAGTAGACAATGGGAGCTAAACATCCGGTAATTTTCCACTTTACCTACATTCTTTTGAATGATTACTGAAAACTTCCACATACTGCTTTCTACCAGACCCAATGCGCTGCCTCATCATCAGCTAAGTTTGTCTACAAAGGGTGAGTTATCTGTGTTATTTTTGATAACCAATAGAAGGTTTAAAACAAATCGGCCGTTGCTCCTTCAGTGGGTGAATTTTGACCGTGCCTCACAAGGTGGCTCAGTTTTGCTTAGATAAAGTTCAAATGAACTTTAGTTGAATTTTCCGTTCATCGTAGAGCATGTATCCACTGCTGAAATACCCAGTAATGTCTCCTGTAAGACTTCCCCAACCAACACGCCACACATGAGTTCCGATCTCATACTGAGAAGAAATTGACCAGTAAAGATACATTTATTCGCTCCTACTAATTCGTATTCAATTTATAATTGGTTACGCACCAAAAGGCATGTTGTGTTCCATCCTCTCACGTTTCTTGGGTCAAATAGTTTCCATCGGAAGTGTTGTTCGCATAAAGACACAGTTATACCTATACAACTGAGATCAGTTTTTGTAACAGATACAGGTGGTGGGAAACTTGTAGATATACATCCAATAAATACAAAAATATTAATCCTAATTCGACGTCAAAGTGGATTCAGTGAATATTTTGTCGCGATTTATTATTAATTCTAGATTCAGAGGATTGTGGTTGGTTTCTCGAGGCAATTTTTGACCCCCATAACTGTTGATGCATTCTCTTGCTGACCGTGGGCTAATCTTAATTACGGTTAAATTTACTCGAGCCTCTTTAAGACCGTCCGCCATGATAGAATTAGTATCGTTAACGACAGACAATTTCATATCAAAACTCTGAGAAGACTGTTTAAAGGGACTTCAGTACCCCCTCCTGGTTCACTGCTTCCAATCACCTTCAAACCATTAGCGTTTATCAGCCAAACAACATAGCGAACAACCTTGTTTTCGTAACTTCGTCTTCAGGTATTTACAGTTGTGTGTTTTGAAAATCTTCTGTGGAATTGATGCTTATTCACCTACCTTTGTCCTCACTGGAATTCCAAGTTAGAAATTCAGTTATACTGTACGGATCCTGCCAAGCATCCTGTATTTTGAAAGCATGTAAGTCACCATTTATTTGTAAGGCGCTTCAAAAGAACTAATTCTTTTGAAGCGCCTTAAGATCGAAGGATTTGGACGAATGAATCAATACAAAAAGCCGATATGTTCCATCGCCTTGGTGATGGTAATTGTCCCTATTCAAAATTTTCACTGTATATATTCCAAATCAGAACGAGTGTAGAACAGTTGTGGTTTGACTGCTCGAAGGTGGGTAATATATTCTTGGACGAGTGAGTGTCATGGGAACCTCCGCCGTGAGTAATCGATAAAGCTGACAGGAACCACAGTGGACTTATGACGGGCGGAGCGTTAGAACATGATTTAAGCAAGATCGTAAGCTGGGAGTGTGAAGTTTTCTAACAATAGAATCAGGTTTGCTTTAGCCACAACGTAAGTAGCAAAACACAACATTTCGGTGACGACGTTTCGACCTTCTTGGAAGGCCTTTGTCAAGTCAG